GGGAAGCAAATAGCACACACGTCATATTAATACTCATTACATGTGTATTTTATATTTCCAGATTATTTGTTGAAGAGCCAGAGCCTGTGCCTCATGTGAACCGTCCAGTTCAGCCCACGGCGTCGTCCTCCTCCACTTGGCCAAAGCCTGCTGCGTCCACCCACCTCCAGCCAAAGCCAGCTGCGCCCACCTATGGACCACCCCCTGTGTCGGCAGCACCCATACTGCTGGTTCTCCCCGCACAGCCACAGGCTCCGTCCGTCCTGTTTCGTGGGCCATCATGCAGCCAGAGCTTTGTACCACCTGCACCAAAAGTTAAGGCATTCATGCCAAACAAGTCCTTGCGGCCATGTGGGGCTTGCCACGTGCCTAATTGTGGTGGACAGCGGAAGAGGTACACACCTTCCAAGGACAAAGTGTCTGAAAGCACCCAGAAGATATTTTCCTACTGTCCATTCACTCGGAAATCCACCACCTCTGGGTTTGACAATGTGGTGTACGACAGCTTTGACTACTTTAAAAGTGTGGTGGATGCAGAGTTGGGAAAGAGGAGAACTCTGTAAATAACTGTAAATAACTGTAAATAATTTACCTGTGTGATGCCACTTCTCTTGTGCCATCTGTAGGAGAGAGAAAGGGGCTTGTTTGTGTGTTTGTATTTCAAAGTGCTTCAGCAAGTACAAACAAACACACAATCTATTTATATATATAGTTAAAAAGTTAAAAAAATGCACTTTACAGTTTTACTTTAGAATGTTCTTTTGTTTTATTTCTTTATTATTATTTATGTTGCTGTTTAAATGCACTTTGTAGTAGCATCTTCTGTTCTTATGTTCAATATCAAGGCCAATCTAACCTCAATCATTTTAACCTTAACAGTTCCCATCTAACACAATCAGTTTTTAATCAAAGTTTGCCAAAGAAAACACACAAAAAAAAATAACAGACAGGAATGGCTTGAGCCTTTATTTGTTGATTTGGATAATCTTGTTCTTTATTGGGCTTTTTCTAGTACAAACCAATTGTTAATTTATATCTTAAGTACAAGTTTGTGTTTTATTGTTAAGTGTTTTTAATTATTATTAATGTTATTTATGTGTGCGTGTCCTTGTAATGTTTGTATGTCTGTCAGCTCCATGTTTAATGAAATGTTTGCAAATGGTAGTAAATGTTTGTCTCTCGTGCTGTCTGCTGTTCTCGCTCGTAGATCTGTACCTTGTCGTGGTGAGCGAGCTTTAAACTAAACAGATCTTGTTTACTTGTGTTTTCATGCATTGCCTTTTAAATGAATAATAAAAGTTCTAAAAGTATTGGAGTCCCTGTACGCTTGGGTTTCAGAAGGGGAGGGATAGTGTAAAAAAACAACACAATTAACAATTGCACACTTTTCCACGTCACTATATGAGGGATCTCTCTGGGCCGATGGTATGGACGGAGTCCAACGGCAAGCAGTTCCACATCCGGGCTACAGAGCTGTTCCTTAACAGTGATTTGACCCGGGTAACACCATCCGCTGTTTACTAGGATGTTTTTTTTTTAAAAGCACGATTTGGAGTTAGAAACTTACTGAAAACTACCTCGTTAGAGAGGACAGAACCTCACTGAGTTACAGTGAAGCCACGGAGCAAACAGAGAGACGAAAAAGTTAAGAAAGTTATAAAAAGCGAACATAAAAATTGGAGCGACGTAACAGGCAGCCTGCAGCTTTCGCGCACGCGCACACATTAAAACGAAATAGGCCCGGTGGAATTTCTTTTTTGTAAGCACAACAGCAGAACAGCAGCTTTACTTCCTCAAACAGCGCTGAACACCGGATCACACGGAGAAGAAAACGAACGGCGTCACCTTTCGGATACCCGTTTCGTGTACCCAGTCGAGCATAGGTCTGTAGAACTATATTATGCTCTCTGCCACAGCTGAGTGTGACCTGAATGCTGGGAGCGAAGCTCATTGGCATCCAGCAGTCGTTTGCGCCCTGTGCGTAAAGTGCTGCCGTTCAGGAAGGCGTGCGTCCTCACTTTGGAGCATTTCTACGAGGAAAACACGCACAGCCAAACACACCAGCGGTACGTGCTACAGTTCTAAGGGATTTTATTGTAGGGGGATCATTTATTCTTTCAATTAAAATAAAGTGTTGTAAAATGAAAATGTTTCAGTGCCTTCTTTGCTGAAAATAAAATTATCAACACCACTAACACAGGACTCAATTCATTAAGAGGGAAGCGGGTTCATTCTCGCTGGTCTCTGGCAGAGACTCTTCGAGCTGAACGGGGTGACGCTTGAGCTGTGGTGGAGGCACTGTGGCCGCCCGTCACGACATTATGGGCGTCGAAAAGACCATGATCTTCGGTTTCTTCGTGTAATACATTTCGTTTAGCCGTTTTGCTTTAATGACTGTATAGAGGAAGGACTTGACGATGAGTGGCGCAGACCAGATGTGTGATGGTGCTGACGGAGAGCTGCACTACACCGAGTGACCAAAACAGTGACAAGTAACGACGAAGACTAAACCAAGACTTTTCTCGTGTGAAACTAGGATACTTTCCTCTGTGAAATACTTGTATTTCTCTTTAAACTTTGTTTATTTTCAGCAAACCCTCATTTGTTTTTAATCTAAGTCCCCTTTTTGGGCTGGTCACCGATGGAAGTCATAAAGTGGAAAAAGTTTAGATTTAAAGATCTTTATGAAGATTATTTTTGAATGAGGCACAAAAAGAGAAAATACATTTAATTGAGTCTATCTTTAAAAAATAAATCACGACCTTTTGGCATTATTATACTTATTTTATTTGTTTTTATAAACGGTTAACAATCCGGCTCATTCACGCTGTCCTTTTCCCGGTGAGAAAGTCCAGATGCCTTTCTTGGGTTTAACGTGCGAGTTCCCGCTGAAGCTGTTACTGTTTTTCAGCTTGATGGTCCACAGGTTGCAGGTTACGACGTTTCCTGATGGGCGTCTCAGTGTTTAGTGCCTGCGCCTGAAAAGACCATGCTCGTTGTTTTCTTCGCCCAATTCATTTCGTGTATAGCCGTTTTGCTTAAATGTGTGTACATGTAGACAACTGGACGATGGCCCATGTAGATGTGTGATGTGGCTGACGAAGCGCTGCACCCCGTGCTATTCATTCCCGCTGAAGAGTGACATCTGCAGGCTCAAGGTAAAACCGAGACTGACGACGTAAAGGCTGCAACGCAGCCCGTGAGTCCGGTCGTAGGCAAGTTCTACGCATCGCCAGCTGATGCTGAAGCTGAAGACCGGCAGACAGCGCTGCGGTGGAGTAGCTCTTCCATTAAGTCCATCCATAGTGTGTAGAGGGTTCAGGAGACAGTTCCAGGACAGTTCTGTTTGAAGATCTTTGCTGGATCTGTGAAGAGTAGCTGCAACCTCGTCTTTTATAGCAGACGCGGAGTGGGAGGGATATAGCCATGCTCTGACAACTTTCGGATATCCTTTTCGTATACCCTGTCAAGGTCTGGCAGAATGTTGCCGACTACCATACCTCCGCTAGAGGTATGTCGTTGTGGATCGTTGTCGATATGCTGGACAGAGGACAGAGGTATCGTCAACGACCGCCACACGACAACAAGATCTGCTGGACAGAGGACAGAGGTGTCGTCAACGACCGCCGCCGACCTCCGCCGCCAGGACAGAGGTATCGTCAACGACCGCCGCCGACCTCCCGTCGGGCAGATCGTTGTCGACAACAATCATCTGTTTTGTTGCCTGCCCCGTGTGAGACTCGATCTCACGATCTTCAGATAATGAGACTGAAGCGTTGCCTACTGCACCACCGAGGAGAACGGTAGACCTGAAGAAATTTTGGCCTTCACTATCATGTTGTTTGTTGGACAACTTGTACACTGTGAAAGCAGAGGTATGGGCTCACTCGTCAGTTTTGGGTGTGTATTTGTCGGACGAACATGAAGATACACTCAACACATTCCGGCGAAGCAAAGTATGTCAGCGCTTGGCTCTCACAGACAAAGCTCCCGGAGGATCTAAGTTGGCAAGAGCCTCGATTTCCGGTGCGATGGAGTTTTATCCTCTGGGCGGGGCCTCGAAAAGGAGGAC